TGGTCGGGCAGGGGCTGTAGAGGGAAATAGAGGGGCTCTAAAGAGGGCACATGGGGCAGTAGAGGGGGAAGGGGCAGTATGGTAGGGGCAGGAGCTGTACAGGGGAAAAAGAGCGGCTGTGGAGAGGGCACAGGGGCAGTATAGGGGGGCAGGGTCAGTATGGTAGGGGCAGAGGCTGTAGAGGGAAATAGATGGGTTGTAGATGGGGCAGGAGCAGCGGCCATAGAGGGGCTGCAGAGGGGGTACAGGGGAAGTAGAGGGGGGCTTTCGGATTTTTGCCCCCTCTGCTTTGGCGCCCTAAGGCGGCCGTCTGTGCCGCCTTATGGATGCGCCGGCTCTGAGTTTAAGCATGCGTGGGATAGGCATAAGGCTATCCTTGATATAAGAGACTAATGCAAATATAAAGCAAATTGGGCAGACTACTGGTAGATTGGCCGAATGGCTCTTATCAAGGTTACTATGTTTGATCAGTTTGACAAGGTATGACTATTTTTTCCTACAATACACCGTTTTAGTGAACAATCCAATGTTTTGTTTACCTATGTATGATAACTTATAATAGAAAAAAAATCATAACATACAGTGTGTTATGTTTACCAGTATGTTGAATATTTTAAACAAAAATTGTATATGCATGAGAATGCATACAAAATTCTAAATCACAAATGAAACAAATTATAATTACATTTCTCAATCTAATTGTGTTAAATTAAAATTAAATGTAATCCGCACGATCTGTTGCTAATTCCACCAAATAATTTGTTTTTTTTAGCCTGGCTCAATTTACTTTTTTTTTTTGTCTGTAAGCCACGAAAGCATTAGCTTTTAAAGGGACACTCTAGGCACTTAAACCATTTCATCTCATTGAAGTGGTCATGGAGCCTTAAGCTCCCTTCATTCATTGTTAAACAATTTTCTTTTCTCTGGCCAACTCCCAACCATTTCTGGTTAAATTATTAACTTCAATTGGCTTAATTATGAAAGGGCCTAATGTTATCTCTCCATGATTCCCTGGTCCTTTAAAAGGATTCTGATGTTAGTGTGAAATTAGATTGTACTGATATAGTCTCTTTGCGTCCTCCATGCTCACTCGTCTTTGCATGCTTTCCAGACAGATACAAGTGCTCTTAACTTGCCTTTGTGTATCTGAAATTTGTCTCATCTAAGTGTGGTTGTTTTATTTTATCTACTCTCTGTTTTATGTGTTTTGATTTCTCAAAGTCTAAAGTTTTACATCTAACATTTTATGTCACTATAATTTATTCCGACTGCTCAGAGCTTTCATGTTAATGTATACATGCTCTCCTTTCAAACCGTGCTAGTAAATGTACTCTACTGTCTAACATGAAAGATATAAATTAAGTTTTGCTGCACTTACTTACGTTGCTGAAAAAAAGTTAGAACTGTAATCTCACAGTATCTGTACTCTCCTATGTAACATAAAAACTGTAATCTTAAATACTCAAAATACTTGAAAGTTAAATACTTAAAGGAACACTATAGTCACCTAAACAACTTAAGCTTAATGAAGCAGTTTTAGTGTATAGATCATGCTTCACAGGTTTCACTGCTCAATTCACTGTCATTTAGGAGTTAAATCACTTTGACTCTGATTGACACAGTCTGCATGAAAAAAAAAACAACTGGTTTCACTTTCAATTTGATGCAATTTACCTTGAACAATTGTATCTCTTTCTGTGTAAATTGAACTTTAATCACATACAGGAGGTTCTTGCAGGGTCTAGCAAGCTATTAACATAGCAGGGGATAAGGAAATCTAAATTAAACAGAACTTGCAATAAAGGAAGGATAAACTTTAGATGACTTGTTACAGGAAGTGTTTAGGAAGGCTGTGCAAGTCACATGCAGGGAGGTGTGACTAGGGTTCATAAACAAAGTGATTTAACTCCTAAATGGCAGAGAATTGAGCAGTGAGACTGTAGGGACATTATCTATACACCAAAATTGCTTCATTAAGCTAAAGTTGTTTTGGTGGCTATAGTGTCCCTTTAAGACCAACACATAAAAAAATGCAGTCATTTAAAAAAAATCATGATGTTTCATTAAATGTAATAACATTTTAAAAAATGCAAAATGAATTTTGAAACTTGATCCATATGTGTGCTCATTTAAATGTCTAGCTGGGAATTCTAGAAGAAATTTAGAAATATGATTTAATGGGATTTTTCCCAAGCTCCTGCTTGAGATATGCAGATTATGCATATCAATAAATTTTGAATGATTTATAGATCTCTAAATTTGCATATAAATAAATTATAATATTCATTCATTGTTTCAATTCATAGAAAACTATCTTCAGGACCTGTTTAAAAACTGGCACACTGCAGCCTCTGAATGTAATACTTTCTGCCTCTGGCCAAATTCAAGGTCAATTTGGATCTTAGTGTTTGATAAATATCTGAATTCCTGTGCTGTGCATGCAATCCAGATTTTTTGGGGGGGCTTCTTTTTTTAGCACACTCTGAATAAATTAGAATACAATCTTAGACTATTCCCATATGTTGCTATTAGTTAAAAACCTTAATAGCAAGGTTGGTTCAGGTTATAGAATCTTCACAGACTTTTTAAGCTTGGAGACACATTTGGAGCTTAGTTGAGAGGGTAATAGAGAGGGTAATTGCAGAGATTTCCTATATCACATTTACAGGTATGTAAGAGGTGTTGATAACTAAGTAGTTAAGTAACCAAATATAAGCTTTTCCCCCTCTCCACTCATCCACGTGCAGGAGGGTATAAACTGCCAGAAAGTAAGGTGTTGGCAATGCAAAGACTAGGTAGAGTAAATTAATATATTATTCTTGACATTAGAGAACAAGGCATCTCCGGGTTCTAGAACTCATAACTAAGATAGAAGAAGCCAAGGACTTGGTTTATAAATCACATTTAAGCTGCATCAGTCTCACTCAGTCTGATATTAGAGGGCACACAAATAATATTCTGACCAAGGAATTTCACTTTCGATAAAATACATTGTCATTAGGGAGGTATTTGTTCACCTCCCATGTGGTGTGATAGAAAGTACTTTAGCAAGGGGTAACTGTTATTTCACTTTAGAAAATTAAGATTTAAAGGGTTAATCCAAGCACCATGGCCACTTCATTGTGTGGTTATGGTGCTTACAATCTGTATATGTATAATTTTGCTGTAGCACTGCACATATCCAATTTAATTGTTTCACTGCCAAGTGTATAACTACATCTCTGGCAGCATCACTAGGGCGTCATTAGCCGGCCAAGAGCAAGAGTTCTTAGATCAGGGGTAGGCAACCTACGACACTGCAGATGTCGTGGACTACATCTACCATAATGCTCTTACATCCATAATGCTGGCAAAGCTTCATGGGAGATGTAGTCCACAACATCTGGAGTGTCGAAGGTTGCCTATCCAGAAGTGCGTTCTTATGCACAGAAGTGCGTTCATTGGCTGAGAATCATAAACTGACGCTTTTTAGCCAATGAATGGACAGATGAATCAACTTCCAGCTTCTGCATCTCTGCAGACCTTGGATGTTGTCACCAGCTAGAGAGAAGACCATGAGTCCAACGAGGAGACCGTTAAATAGTTTACCCCATTACCAGCATAGGAGACTTTGGAATTCCAGGCATTAGACCCATTACAGTGTGTTGACCTTTATCAATTATGGAATGTTGCTAATGTTACTAAATCCAGGATTGTAGATACATGAAGGGGTATACGTTAAATAATGCTAAAATAAAAATCAATGAGGATAAAGCGTGCTATGAAAGCAGTTAATAGCTCAAAACACTAGTTTTCCCGAGGCACACAGCACACAGAACATGTTTTTTTTAAATAAATCCAGTATGCCAGCACATACGTCATATCCCTAAATTTAGGCCATAGCACTTGGCAATATCTAAATACCAGGAGCCATGTATTAACTACTACACCAAGTGAAAGGGCAACTTTATTCTTCATTGCACCTTGTACAAAAAATCTTCAGTGTATTAATCATATTTGTTTATTCTCATAATGAGAGACTTGGACCCATTCCTGGAAATAGTGCCTTGGTTTTGTTCAGCAGACGGATACCAGACTTAAAAATCACTGGATACAAATTTACTGATTTATGTCCTCTGCTTTTGCATGGACAGTATTTTTCTTTATTAGACTGTGTGTTTTTAATGCATTTTATACAGATTAAAAATTTTTTCTGGTTATCTGCATGCAGTCATTTTACAGAGTTATTTACTAAACTGATAATTGTCTGGAGTTCCATCTTCTTATTCTGGTCCATATTTTGTATAATTTATTAATTTATTTATAAAATATTTAACAGGAAGGATAACTTGAGATATCTCTAATTTTCAAGTATGTTCTGGGCCCCCAACCAATGCATTGTTACAATAGGGTACAATATAATGTTAAAATTACAAAACAATATTAAAGTACACATATATAAATGTAACACAGAACAGGTAAGAATTATAATCAACAATGATTACAAGTGCATTCACTACTGAGATATGTGGAGAGGAATCTCTTAAAGGATTTAATTGTGTCCATGAGGTTATTCCATAATTGCAGTGGTCTGTAGGTAAACTTATGTAGTTAGTTTATGAAGGTGGGTTTGCGGCGCACGTGCATACACTACATCCCTATAATGACTGGCATTAGCATTTTTTGCACAATCTGTTTTCATAAATGTTTTCATAAATGGGGCTTAGGCAGGATTTGCTTCTGTATAAGGCACCTATTTTTGGCTAAAGTTTCGATGCGTTTTTTTAATATGGAGGCTGAAAGACATACCAGATATTTGAAAGAACGGACCGCTGTCAGTGTGCTTTTTGATTTTGTTCTTATGCATTGTTGGGAATTTTGTAATTGATGTACTTTAGGTACTGTTCCAAAGATAATAGTGACTGTTTTGTCAGTGTTTAGGAAAAGTTTAATATCCATGATTTTCCACTTTTCTACCTCTATATTTGTATCCAAGGGGGACAAGGGACACACTACATTACCTGGTGGTCCAGTGGCACAGTATGGTTGCCCAGTGAAGCGGGGGCCAGGAATCTCCACATCCAGCAGAAGCATGTCCTCTGTTCTTGCGATCCCATAAGAGCGTTCCCGTAGGTTGCCATAGCAACGTGCAGCAGCGCTCTTGTGGATCACGAGAACAGAGGACATGCTGCTGCTGGATGTGGAGACTCCTGCAAGCGGCATGAAAATGCGCTACAGGCACCCCCCTAGTGAGTGGCACCCGGGGTGGACCTCCCCCTCTGCCCCCCCCCCCCTAGCATGAAGCTGATCCCAGGAGCCCTCGTCTATGCAAGCTCAGGCTCTCTCTGTAAGAGGAGAGACTTGTCCGTCCAAGTTTTGACTGTGGCAAGCTTACACTTCTATAGGTGTTTTAAAACATTTTTTATTGACATGGATAGATAATACAGACGTACAATACAATGCAAAGTGGTATATAAAAGCCAAATACACAATTCTAATATAAGGTGCACTGTGTCTTTAAACATCACAACTGTGTTATAATGTCCACAGTAGTTTAGAAACATTTAAAAATGGTGGGGAGGGGGGAATACATATATAGTGTAAATTCAAGAATGGGTTGAAGACAGAAAAATGTAAGCACAATAAACTCACAATCAAAGAGCAGATAAGTATTGCTCAGATTGTAGCAGCTCCAATCAATGCTCTCCAGCAGCTTGGATGAAAGGAGCACTATGGAGTATATTCTGTTAAAGCACCAGGTCCAAACCACGCTTAACAGATTTGTGCACTTTATTGAGGCTCCATCTGCCTTGTCTCTCCAACTGAGACACCCACGAAGTTAATGACCTTCTCCGCCTCCATAATTAGGGAGTTATTGCTTTTGCAGTGCAGTATTAGAAAATCCAAGGATTTCCTGTACGCCTCTACTGACCTCATAGTATTGCGTAAGATAAGAGCCTTAGGTGAAGAAGGGATTTCCATAGGTTTACAAAACAGGTGGGATGGGGTAATAAATTCCGCAGATAATCTGTTGACTATGAGAGGGCTAAAATCTCCCCCATTCATGATGGTGTAGCATTTTGGCCACAATTTTTTTGTTTTGTTTTAAATAATATAAATGGACATGATAGGTGCTGGGGTCACATACTGATAACATGTGGGAACTTGCTATTGTCTTCCTGTCAGCCATCTTTCTACTCAGTGGTGTACTAAGTGGGGGGCGGCAGGGGCGGTCTGCCCCGGGTGCCACTCACTAGAGGGGTGCCCGGGGCGCACTTTCACAGGGGCGGCATTTCGTATCCACACGATTTCCCATCCAGTTCTGGGCCCACCTATGCTGAGCCATCATACCACCAGGACCACCCATCAAGGAGGACGGGAGGGACAGGTAAGTGTCAGTGAGGGGGAGGGGCAAACCATACACACAGCTCACCTTCCCAGCACTTATTCCACACAACACACACACAAGCTGCATACACTATACACACACTCAATACACTATACACACACTCCATACACTATACCCACACTCCATACACTATACCCACACTCCATACACTATACACACACTGCATACACTATGTACACACTCCATACACAATACACACACTCCATACACAATACACACACTCCATACACTATACACACACTGCATACACTATACACACACTGCATACACCATACACACACTCCATGCACTATACACACAAGCTGCATACACTTTACACACACTGCATACACTATACACACACTCCATACACTATACACACTGCATACACTATACACACACTGCATACACTATACACACACTCCATACACACTACACACTCCATACACACTACACACTCCATACACTATACACACACTCCATACACTATACATACACTGCATACACTATACACACACTCCATACACTATACACACACTCCATACACTATACACACACTGTACACACTGCATACACTATACACACACTCCATACACTATACACACACTCCATACACTATACACACACTGTACACACTGCATACACTATACACACACTCCATACACTATACACACTGCATACACTATACACACACTCCATACATTATACACACACTGCATACACTATACACACACCGCATACACTATACACACACTGCATACACTATACAAACGCACACACTGCATCCACTACACAAACACACTGAATTCACTAAGCAAACAGACACTTATACATGTGTATCTGTATGTCTATGTATCTGTATGTGTATCTGTTTGTGTGTCTGTGTTTGTTTCGGTTTGTCTGTGTATCTGTACGTATGTGTCTATCTGTATCTGTGTGTTACTATGTGTCTGTGTATCTGTATGTGTGCCAGTCTGTGTATATGTGTACATGTGCATACATCTCAGCATTTCATCTACACTACACACAAATACAACCCTGCATCCAAATGTCAACACTATATAAAAACACACCACCATATTCAAAAACCACACTACAGAAAAATGCATGCCTGCATTCAAATGTCAATACGTACAAACACACCCGTACATTCACTCACACATACTTCATACAAAAACATGCTTACATTAAAAATATACAAACACTGCTCGGTGCTAAATACATTAAAAAAAAATGGTGTTTTTTTTCCCCATTTTAAAGTTATGGGGGGGGCAGGGGGATGGGGTGCCAAATAAAGGATCCGCCCCGGGTGCCAAATGCTCCAGGTACGCCCCTGTTTCTACTAGCAGCCATTTTATGGAATATAACCTATGGAATACGTCTGTTTATTATGCTAATAATTTCCAAACACTCTATTGAATGTAGCATTTGGAGAAGGAAAAATTGATGATTGTGTAACTGTTAAGATCATATGTTTTACTGAAATATGAGAAAAACAGAACATAATATATATAAAATGTAAAAAAAAAATGTATTCCATATTGTTTTTTTTGTGAAAAAATGTATATTAAAAGGTGAGGTCAGGTATCTCAAATAGGTTTTTATTCCATTCTACTAATGGCCTCCCCATATACAGGGAGTGCAGAATTATTAGGCAAATGAGTATTTTGACCACATCATCCTCTTTATGCATGTTGTCTTACTCCAAGCTGTATAGGCTCGAAGCCTACTACCAATTAAGCATATTAGGTGATGTGCATCTCTGTAATGAGAAGGGGTGTGGTCTAATGACATCAACACCCTATATCAGGTGTGCATAATTATTAGGCAACTTCCTTTCCTTTGGCAAAATGGGTCAAAAGAAGGACTTGACAGGCTCAGAAAAGTCAAAAATAGTGAGATATCTTGCAGAGGGATGCAGCACTCTTAAAATTGCAAAGCTTCTGAAGCGTGATCATCGAACAATCAAGCGTTTCATTCAAAATAGTCAACAGGGTCGCAAGAAGCGTGTGGAAAAACCAAGGCGCAAAATAACTGCCCATGAACTGAGAAAAGTCAAGCATGCAGCTGCCACGATGCCACTTGCCACCAGTTTGGCCATATTTCAGAGCTGCAACATCACTGGAGTGCCCAAAAGCACAAGGTGTGCAATACTCAGAGACATGGCCAAGGTAAGAAAGGCTGAAAGACGACCACCACTGAACAAGACACACAAGCTGAAACGTCAAGACTGGGCCAAGAAATATCTCAAGACTGATTTTTCTAATGTTTTATGGACTGATGAAATGAGAGTGAGTCTTGATGGGCCAGATGGATGGGCCTGTGGCTGGATTGGTAAAGGGCAGAGAGCTCCAGTCCGACTCAGACGCCAGCAAGGTGGAGGTGGAGTACTGGTTTGGGCTGGTATCATCAAAGATGAGCTTGTGGGGCCTTTTCGGGTTGAGGATGGAGTCAAGCTCAACTCCCAGTCCTACTGCCAGTTCCTGGAAGACACCTTCTTCAAGCAGTGGTACAGGAAGAAGTCTGCATCCTTCAAGAAAAACATGATTTTCATGCAGGACAATGCTCCATCACACGCGTCCAAGTACTCCACAGCGTGGCTGGCAAGAAAGGGTATAAAAGAAGAAAATCTAATGACATGGCCTCCTTGTTCACCTGATCTGAACCCCATTGAGAACCTGTGGTCCATCATCAAATGTGAGATTTACAAGGAGGGAAAACAGTACACCTCTCTGAACAGTGTCTGGGAGGCTGTGGTTGCTGCTGCACGCAATGTTAATGGTGAACAGATCAAAACACTGACAGAATCCATGGATGGCAGGCTTTTGAGTGTCCTTGCAAAGAAAGGTGGCTATATTGGTCACTGATTTGTTTTTGTTTTGTTTTTGAATGTCAGAAATGTATATTTGTGAATGTTGAGATGTTATATTGGTTTCACTGGTAATAATAAATAATTGAAATGGGTATATATTTGTTTTTTGTTAAGTTGCCTAATAATTATGCACAGTAATAGTCACCTGCACACACAGATATCCCCCTAACATAGCTATAACTAAAAACAAACTAAAAACTACTTCCAAAAATATTCAGCTTTGATATTAATGAGTTTTTTGGGTTCATTGAGAACATGGTTGTTGTTCAATAATAAAATTAATCCTCAAAAATACAACTTGCCTAATAATTCTGCACTCCCTGTATATTTATAATCTTTTCCAAATCTCAATTTCTGGATGCAGCGATTTTGTTCTCCTGTGTCCATGATAACTGGAATATGTTCGTCTGTGAGGTTTATTTTACTGATGGCTTGTGGGTAAATTTATTTTGCCGCTGAAACAGAAGCTTGCTAGAGTAAGTTCTAATTTTTGATTATGTATTATATTATTATTGCATACCAAACATACATCTTGGCTGTAGGTTGGTGAGCAAAACAATACAGTAAAGGCAGTGGGCATTTTTATTTCTAAGATATTTTTATTTTTTACAAACTGTGGCCGACATAAACTTTATTGAACAAATCGACAGAGTGCACGTTATTTTCTGTACTATAGGTTTAAAAATGATGCAAAGTCGCTAGTGACCCTTTAAATCAAATGTGCAAACTATTCAGATACAATAAATAGCTAATATAACTGTAGTGTATAATTTGGGGATTCATATTATGTAGAATACAAAACGTAACGGAAAACAATATTAAATTAATGCATGCCTAAATGGAAAAAGCTGAACTGTGTAATGATCTAGTTCAGGCATAGGCAACCTTCGGCTCTCCAGCTGTTTTGGACTACACCTCCTATGATGC